GTTATTTATGTATCAATTTATTCATTCATTAATTCATTCACGTACAGTGTTCATCTATCAATTCATTCATTTTTTGCTTGAAGGAGATTCAGGTGTCGGTCGGTTGTGAAACATTTTGCATCACAGACATCTGTGTTGAAAGCTTCACTGGTTAAAGCTTCACTTTGCCATCTCTAGCTACTAGGGTTGCCATCTTTGATGGGGCTCCTCCTCGTCCATTTCATCACACCAACAAAATAAAGTAAATAGGTTTTTACCTGTTTTCACGCGTTTATGGACACAGGATCAGACATAGCCGGGAAGAAAACAGAAGGAAACAAATGAGGTTTCATTTGAAACTATGACATTCTAAATCAAACATGTATTTTCACAAAAAACAGGACAATTCGTGTCCCAGGAGAGAATATTAATTGTCGAGGACAGTTGCATCCTGGGAAAACCGGGATGGGTGGCCACCCTACTAGCTACCAGTGCCTGAAAAAGTTTAATAAAGCTGTAGTTGCTATGAGTGATATTGTTTTGGAAGTTTTTCTAGAAAACAGATGAAATATGTTGCCAGTGAACATTTTACTGGTAAGTTCAGGGTCAACATTTTTGTGATTTTTGAGATGTTAATTACCAACATATCCTCATTATATATATACTATATGTATATTATACAATGTAATCTTGCATGCATTACACTTCAAACATATTTGCAGTCCCTAATTTGTTGTATATAAACACAATTTCTAGAAAATAGCTTTGCCTATCATGGCTTCTCAATGCACAAAAATGTATATATAAAACTCACATGAGCAACTCTGCAGTCATGGTCTTGAGCTGTCCAATGAACCTGAGTACTGAACATTCCCATTTCTACTATCCATTTCTACCAATAAGGCACAGTTATGCTTTGTTAGCATGTTTACATGCTAACAATGACAATATTATCATGCTGATGGTCCCCAGCTTACTTACTAAGCTTGCTTACGTTCATTAAATAGCATCAAGCACAAAGTAGCTGTCACGTGAAGAGACGTTTCATCTCCACCTGCTGGTGGAGCAGGGGACAACAATCAGAGGGTCAACAAAGTCACCAGGATGCATTGTGTACAGGAAGGAGATGTGAAGATATCACAGAATTATTCAAGACTTTGGCCTGATAGAGGTGCTAGATGAAAGGTCAGCAGGTCAACAAACTCAGTATGATTCATCCTCTGCCATTGTTTAATATACTCTCCAATATCCTTGTTCTCTGTATGTCTTTCATTTGAAGCCACAAGAATTGCAAAAGCTGTAGCAAGGTGCATCCTCAGCTTAAGTATTAGGTTTCTTACTTTTTACTTTGACTAAATAAAATCCATTGGCTAGCAGTTATTTTCCATTTGCCCTTTTGAGCCTTTATTGGATAGCATAGTGGAGACAGACAGGAAATGCAGGGAGAGAGGAGAGGAATGACATTCAGCAAATAGCCCGGCCGGCTGGAAGTCTAAGCAGGGACTAGCTGCTCATGGCCCATTGAGCCCATGTGGTACGCACCCTAACCATTCAGCTATCAGGTCACCCCGCTCGCAGTTAAGTAGCTCCGAAAACTCATGTCAGGTAATGTAGGAAGCATCTGAATTCTGCATTAGTGCCAGTGCCGGTTAACAGAGTCCTGATGTAATGTTCTGCAATGTCTCCCCCACATGAGGTAACACAACAGACAGCTTTCTTCCTGACTTTTGAAACTTTTCTGAAGTCTCTATTATCTCCCAAACATATTCCATGGCATTGTTACTCAGAGAAACGCCTTGCTGATGTCATCATTATTAATTGCAAGTCATGCACCTGTCTCTCTAGGCAAGGGCTCGCTCACCGTGTGACATTGTCTATCACTTTGTCATGTTTCCTGTCTTACACGCTCACGTCAGTTTGTTGCCTCTGGTCTGTCGCTGGTATTTTGAAAGAGAGCACAGCTGCAAAGCCTCACATTTAATCCATCCAATTAACAGTGGTAGTTGGAAGTGTTTTAAGACGTATATTTGTAATGTAATTAAAAGCTGAGAAATGAATGCACATAAAGTTATAAAGTCAGCTGACCTTGTAGGAAGTTTTTGCCAAACAAGGCATCAGCGTTTCATTACCTGCACGGATTTTATAACACCAAATTAAGTTTAACCTTTATGTGGCTTTGAAAACTGACGCTGATGCCGATAGTTTCATGTCAACAAAATATGATATTTCATCCGGCATCTGTCTTTTCATCAATCTGTTAAGCTCTGACCCACAGTCTTTGATCATTAATGGCTCAGTTGGCATGAATCATTGCGCTCACTTTTATGTAAGAGGAGGAAAATATTGATTTCAGTGAGCTTATGACCTTTCCCATTGAAAGACACCATTAGATAAAACACGGCACAGACCTGAACTCTATTGAGTGTTGTTTTATTTAAGCTCGAAGGCACTGTTAAACAATACATTGATATGGATTACCATTAAATTCATTTGCTTTCATCCCAACATTTTTCAGCATTCGGGTCTGTTAATGACAGAGAAAACCGTTATTTAACAGACGTTAATTTTTGTTTGATTAACACAAATTTATATAAATGGAAAAACTGTGCAAGGTAAAAGATGACCAGAGGGGGAAAAAAAACTAAACATTTCAACATGGTGGAACAGAATATTCTCATTGTGTGCAGAAATACAATGAGAAACTTATAAAATTGCTTATAAAGTGCTTATAAAATTAATAGAAGAAAGCCAGGGATGAAGCAGAGAGCAAGCACAGATTTCCTGAGTAAAGGCGAGCAGATTTCCAAAATAGTCCCTGTAGACGCAGCTATTTATGTGGAGAAATGAACCATTACTACATCTAATTTGTGGCAAATTGATCTTGGAGACGCAGGCTGTCATCAATCCTCCTGCATGTGTGTTTAGACTCCGATTTATACTTTGTCAGAAGGGAATAGAGCTGGGAGGACAAATGTGTCAGCTCACTGCCTCTCTGAGGCCCTGTCACAGAAGAGCTATGATGGGGGAGAAGCCAGGAAGGATTCACTCATGCTTTTGGTGACAGAAAGCTCCGCGGGCAGATATCACTGAGGAAGCCAACCCTCAGGCGCGACTTCAGAGATATAATAAAGTGAAGCAGGGTATAACACCTATCTCCGGAAAATGTCTATGTTTATTTATAGATTATTGGCTGAGAGGAAAATGTTTTAGTTCTAATAAAGATAAATAGAGCTTGTTTTTACTCATAGTTTTACTTTGGGAGAAAACTGTGAACTACTTTGATTTCGAGATTTTTTTTTATCAGTAGGAGGAACCAACTGCTGTACATACATGGCTGACCAGAGCAGAGCAGTTATTCACCACACATGTTGCTTGTGATTGTGACTCATGCCAAACCAAACAGGTCAATTATATTTACAGTTTCTGTCAGTAGGAAGGGATGTGATCAATATCCACCTGGTTATCCCGCTGATGATGTAACTGCTTAATACAGTTTTACCGCCTGACGCAAAAGAATCAATATACAGGTATTTACAGACAGGTAACAAATGAAAGGAGAAACCTGAATAAATTAAAGGAAAAACCGGACTGTATTAATGGGAAAAGCTAATGAATGCAGATGCCAGATCAGGGGTCAGCACTGAACGGTTTGATGAAATTTCTGAAGAAATGATGGACAGCACGGCGCTCGCCATCGCCATCATCAAAACACAGAGAGGGAATATTTGTTGGAAGAATGTGTTCATGAGTGTTCATAACTCCGACAGTTTATGTAGTGATTATGACCAGGGTGTAGAGGAAGGTGGCTCAAGGATAGCAATGTGTTTATTTTGTTTTTATTCTATGTTGAAGGTCACATTAACACAAAACAAAAGGGGAGGAAATTGAAAGAGGATACGTGGGACAGGGACACTCCAGTAGAGTTCATCCAGCAATACAAAAAGAACAGACCCATTGAACATTTGTCCATTCTCTGTTCAGAATTCCTCTATTTTCTAATTATTTTTCAAACTACAGAGAGAACTATAAAAGTCCTGACTGAGAAAATATATTTCCCACAAAAGTTAATATAGAAAGAGAATTTTTTTCTACAGAGGCCTGAGGCACAATTAATGTTTAATGGATGCATTAGAGTCCCACAAATGTAGAAATAACTTTTAAATAAATGTACCTATAAAAATCTTACTAAAAAAAACTGCAATACCATTCTCACAACTTCTTACAATACCTGCTGTCACTGTCCCTGCTGCTATACTGCTACTGATAGTATGACTCCACTCCCACCACTACTATGACTGCCACTGCTGCAACTCCTGATATCACCATCACCATGTCTTTATCAGACGAGAACAGGCTAATGTCATATTCCTCAAGGAGAGACGTACGTATAAATGCCAGCTCTTATCACTCATCAGTTATGTGAACACCTTAATGGAATTAATAATGGCAAGCTGAAGTTAGGTGTTTCTGTTGGTGAACTGATATTATATTATCCCCATCTAGTGGCAGAAATAAGTTGATGCAAGTGTATTTGCATAATAAACTCCATTCTGTGTACAGCTAAATCTATATGTATGAGCCCTGCTATAAGAGAATCAGCTGATTCTAGGAGTATTGTTCACAAGTGACAGCAGAAATATAAATTTACTCAAGTACTATATGTAAGTACTACAATTTGGAGGTACTTTACCTAAACCTCATTCTTATCAAGTCATTTTTGTGTGTACAAGTTATTTTATTTTCTTTCAAAAAAGGGAAAGATATGCCATGAAGAACACAGCGAATAGTAATAGTCATAATCATGTATCTATACATATTATATTTATATATATATATATATATATATATGATATCATACATACAGGCAGACAGACAGACAGATATATTGCTTGATAGATAGATAAATAGATAGATAGATAGATAGATAGATAGATAGATAGATAGATAGGTCCCTATGGGCCTCACCAAACAGCTTAAAGGGGAGGAGTTAGCTGCGCTGTTTGAAGAGTGGCTGACAGGAAAGTAGTTCGGATGGCGGTGGACCGAGCATCTCTGTTTTTGTAGAAGTTGTGGATGAGACCTGTGACCGATCAGCATTTCGTGTAAAGTCATGCGCCTGTTGATCTGTCTGATATCTGCGCTGAGTTTGTGTGAGAGCGGCGAAGCGGCTGCAGAGTTCACTGAGACTGTGGGACACTCTCTGCATATCGATGACGGGAACTTTTCAAACCGGGATCACATGAGACAAGAGCCCTTTCAGTACCAGCAGCAAGTGCTGGATGCCCTGCCAGGTTTGTATAGTTTCACTGTATCATAGGACCATTCACACTTCAGTAAACTGGTCGGGATTGTTGTTGATGTGTTTCATGTTGAGGATGTAAACTGAAAATAAATCACATTGTAGCTTGAGATTAAATGTTCGTGTTGATATTTTGCCATTTCTTGTTATTTCTACTAACAATCACGCTAAATGGCTTTTTGTAACAGATTATAGACTAAGATGTGCAGATTTAGTCGAACTGGACCATCTGCATGAGGATTTGCTCACAAATCTGCTGATCTGTTCATGAGTAATAAGTGATGCGGGAGCTTGCTGCTGTCACCTCATGACTAACGCTTTCTCCATCTGTCTCTTCTCGCTGCATCACCACCAACAAGGCAACCGTTTATCATGTTATGTCTGCATCATTTACAATACACAAAATGTGAACTTTTTAAAGTGACTTCAGAGTTGGCCAGAATCTTAAAAAAAAGTGCGCGAGGGCCAGACGGTATCTCCTCACTCTGAATTATCATTAAACCACAGCAGACTCTGTCCTCTTTTCCATTTGTCTCTCCTGCCGACTACTTTTATTTTCTAAGTGAAAATATGCTCTCCCTCCCTCATCGCACAGTGTGTCAGAGACTTACAGGCATCTTCTTGTTTACAGCAGAGCAGTGGAGAGGATCTGAAAGAGGGATTTGTGACCCTGTTCACTTATCAACTGATTCATGACTAATTCATGTTCCTGTAGGAGTACATTACCATCCGTCATCACATGATCCCTCAGCCTGTGTTCACGATTTAACACTTGGAAATGTACCCAGGCATTCTGTTGTATCTTGTACCACCCCCTGTACCCAACCCCCACCCCACCCACCCCCTCCTGCTGGCTTGTCCTGCCAAACCACCCTATCCCTACAGAGTAAACTCTCAGGGGAATGACTGCCCACTCTCTTCTTCTACTAAATAATAATAATAAAAAATAATTAAATAAATAAAAATGTACAAAAAAGCGCCTTCTTTCTTGAGCCAGATGGTCAGGCTCATGTTGAGATTTATATCTTCATTGTTGCACCCTTCATAATGGGCAAAGCAACAGAATTAAAGATCTAATCATTTTGTCTCGGGGACTGGTGCGTGTTAGCCCCCCCCCCTCCACCTCCACTGCACCCTAAGCATCTTTTGGGACTTGACTTGTGTTTGAAGCTGATTTGTTCCACATATTAAAGGGTGCGCTTTTTTTTTCCCCATCAGTGGAATGTATGGCCTACTTCCAACACACACACACACACACACACACACACACACACACACACAAACAAACAAGCATGTTTGTGGGGAGGGTGGAGGGGCGGGGGGGGGGTCACCAGAGATAAATCCCTGTTGGACCATCTGTTTATCCTGCCTGGTGGTCTCGCAGAAATGACCAGTCAACATGTTTTTGTTCCTTCCTCATGATTTTAATCATAGTCTCTGGTGGAATGATGATGGTGTATGTGCTTGATATGACAGCAAAGGCAAATGTAGGTGCTTTTAGCCACAGACATGGTGTTTTCAATAATTATAAGATGCCATTCTAATATTTACTATCTTCATTTCTGGGTCAAGAAGCTTTGTAATTTAGTTTTTGATTAGTGGAAATATCTCCCCCATAGTTTAAGAAGTCTAATGTGTACATACTGATAAAGAAAGCATTTCACCAAAGCGGAAATATATTTTTTTCTGTTGGGCACCAGTACTATCATGTATAACAGTATTCAAGCCATATCACACACCACGGGGGATCTATTTCTCATCTCCGTCTGTGGCCTCAGACAGCCCATTTCAATATACTTCATAACCCTCTTTGTGGTGTGGTTCAGTTAGCCAAATGTGGAGATTACAGTAATCTGGCACGACACACCTCCACTTCAGATTTAGTGACCCCCTTCTGTTCTGTTTGGCCACCAAAGTAGAACACACAGAAAGAGGAGGCTGCCTCTCCCAAAACAAGCGCCCTCTTGTCCATCTGCACTGGCATACAGTTTGTCTCTCAGTGGGTTTAACTCTAAAGCAGCCAAATGTAGATATTTGTTTCATGTTGTGGCTGGAAAATGGTGGCACTCCTGGCAGCTCCAGGCGTCTGTCTGCCCCTGATCAAAGGAGCGTGTTAGGGGGTAAGGATATGGAGTGATCTGGTTATCTGGCTTTGGCACTTGCTGAAATAGTGCGAAATCTGGTAGCATAAGGCATGGCTTCATGAGTGTTCAGTGGAGCTTTGGCAGATCGTTTAGCAGCAGGATTATATGCAATCAGAATAGCAGCAAATTCAACCACTACCGTCAGTGTTGACTTGTCACCATTCGAGAGAGAGATGCTTATGACATTATGACTGGTGAGACTGCTGCGATAGCAGAGCTGCAGCATGTAGGTACTGATAAAAAGTCCAAGAAGGACTTTTTTATGGGCTCATAGCACAAAATAACTATGATATACTGTATCTGTGGAGGGCTGATGATCAGCCAGCTGCTGAGATTTATGTCTCCCAGAACTCACTTTCCAGCCCAGACTCCACAGAAGGAGTACAGGACGGTGGAGAAAATTTATAGCAGGGCAGAAGGTGAAGGAAGCTACCTTAGCACTGCCCAGTGCTAGCAGAGTTTTGCAGCTGTACACAGTACTCTTGGTGCTGAGCAGTTTCTTTGAAGCATTGTTCAGTATTTATTATGGGAACCTTGTGCTCAGATTTTTCCAGCAGTTTTTCTTTTCTTTTTTTTTTTTTTTTTTTTGCTCTAACCTCCTGCTATGCTACCTCCACAGGTCCACGGCACAATGTGTTTGGAATGCTAAACTTTACTTTAAAATTCAATTTAAACTTTTGTTGACCAGCAGAATATGATGTAAAAAATGACACCGACATATTATCACCTTGTGAAGTTGTACGGTGAACATGTTAGCACACAGTTGCCTGTAGACAGTAAAATTGAGTCCAGAAAACCAAAGCGATTAGCTAAAAGATGCCAGAATGCTCTGCAGAACTGAGTGGAAGTGCAGAGTTGGTGATAATTCCCTGTGAGTTTATCGCTTTGAGTGACATCACTGACATTACACTTATTCATTTGATCCATGCAAATATTCACTAGTGCAGCTTTAATGTATTGCGTGTCGGTCAGGCATTGATTCTTGGTAGGATCTGCTTTTCATGACATACTGATTAGGCAAGAAGTGATGTATTAGTGAAAATCCCTTCATTGTTATGCAACACTGTCCCTCTCAGAAATGAAGTCTTGCTGTCATGAATTTACTATTGGATGTATGTGCACAGTGTGAAAGTGGCTTATTGGCTTTGTGGATAATGTGTCACATTATCATTAGGCCCTGAATGAGATTCTCGAGGAGCTACCTGAAAACATGTAATGATTAGGGCTCCCTCATGAGAATACCTTTATTGGAAATATGTACTGTATTAGCTGCCTGAGCTGCTGATGTAGCTTGTTATTGTCTTAAATGCTTACTTTGTTGTTCTAGTTGCCTGATTTTAGCATTTGCATGTGTGTCCTTCTCTTTAAAATCTGCTGGGATTAACTGATTGATATCCTCGAGGGAGTCTGTAAATGAGTTTTCCTGTTGTGCTGTCAGTGAGGCCGACTAGCCCGCTAGGTTTACTGGAACTGCAGCCAACTCCAATCTGTTAAAGAACTAAAGAGCATAGCTGTAGTGTATAAAAAGTGGTGGACAAAATAATAGGAACATGTTACATGTAATCCAAAGAGGTGCAGTTCTGAGACTGTAATTTGTGGTGTGTGGTTTCATTATATTTGGAGGTTTGACCGTGTAAGAAACTGTAAACTTTCTCTTTGCCTTGACCACAATCCCACTTTATCTTCACCAAATCCTTTTTTTTATCTCCTATAGGTTCTTCCTTTAACCTGAGGGTCCAGGTTAGAGACGTGCTGAGTCGTCAGTCCCTGAGCCAGGCAGTGGTGGATGTTTACATCAACTACACCAGGGTCAAAACCGCTCATACAGGGGAGGATGGTGGAGTTTTGCTTCATGTACCTTACCAAACTGGGCTGCCCATCACAGTAGTGGCAAACAAGGATGGTTACATTAGCACGCTGCTGCCTTGTAAAACCAGCAGAATGCCAAGTAAGATGTTTAATGTGTTCGGTTAATGAGCTTCATCAAATGCATAAACATAAGAATGGCAGCGTTGTTTTTATTCAATATTGGCAAGTACATTTTAGAAAGAAATCGTTGTATATCTTCAGTTTATATCAACTGCATACCGTGTGGTTGTGTGTGTGTGTGTGTGTGTGTGTGTTTCTGTGTCAGTGAATCAGGCACAGTCTGCAGAGAGTGGCAGATAGCAGTGGGGTTTTTTTTCTGATTGGGACACTATAAATAATGTCATGTAAAAAACTAATCAGAAGAAATACTGAAATGTATATACTTAAGTCAATTTTTGCTCCACGCCGACACCTGACAGGACAGCAGCAGTGGGACCTTTCTATAGCCGACATGTGGAGTGTGTCTACATCTGTATCTGTTGCTCAGTAGTCATCTGCAGTGCTGTGATACAAATACCTGAATCTTGAGCTATTGTTTTTGAAGTGAAAACTTACTTGATGTAATATAACATAATGTCACGCTGCCATCTAGTGGAGAAACTGCTCATTTTTAAACATAATAGTCTGCTAATTTTGCAATTTTACCCTTTCCCTTTGTTGCAGTATTTTCATCAGTGACCATGTCACTACTTAGTCTAAATCAAGGAAACATCTGGCTCTTTGAAGATTCTGTCCTGATCACTGGCAAAACATCTGGTACTGTGTTTAAGTATCTCTTAGTGCTCATTCTCTCTTTGTCTCTATGATTGTTGGTACAATCATTCATTTAAACACATCATATCAGCCAAAGATAACAGTGCTAAAGGGAAAATACATACAATATATTTGAATAAAATGTTATAAATAGAGGCTGAATATTTTCAGCTATTACTATTACTATTTTTTCTTTTATTTATAGATGCTTCATCACAGCCTGTTGTCCACTTTCCCAAGAGCCTGCTGAATCTGACAGACAGCAGCAATGTCACCTCGGTCAAAGCCTACCTGACCATCCCCAGGCTGTCATCAGAGGATGACAGCCTGCTCAACACTCTGGGCATCATGAGCAGTAAATCAGGTAAGTCTGTGTGTGTGTGTGTGTGTGTGTGTATGTGTGTGTGTGTGTGTGTTTTGTAGAATCAGTATACAGACATCTGCTTTCAAAATATTGAATATAGTACAGTTCTAATAACAGTGAATAGTTAAAGTAGATAGATGAAATAGATTTTTTTAATAGAAAGTGAACTTAGAGCAGTTTATACTTATATACTTCCTCACACTTTCCTCTTTTCACAATTAAAATCATTTAATTGTGCATGTGGGGATTATAGTATTCTTCAACCTGAATCTGAATCTGAATATTTTGTGTTTGGTGCCATCTGGTGGTCGTAATAATTAAAAAAAGACACTGAGGTAGATACTAATTTTAAAACCTTATTATTTGATGTATTTTTCTGACTATTGTAAATGTTTTTCTTAATTCTTTGTTTCTTATTGTCTTGTATTGTGTAGTTGTGTAGTTGTGTTGTCTTTGTTGTTGATGGTGTTTTTGTGACTGCTTCTTATTCTCAGGCCTCTCTTGAAAAATATATTTTAATCTCAATGAGACTGCCTGATTAAATAAAGATTAGATCAAAAAAAAAAAAAAAAAACGTAAAATAATAATAAAATAAATTGACACAGATACAAATGATTTAGCAACAGACTGCGACAGTTTTCACATGGAATCTTTCTGTCTTTCTTGGCTGCAAGTGGCTACAACAAGCTGAAGCAAAGTAAAGATGAAGTCAGCGTCAGAGCTTTAGCAGGGGTCCAGTCAGCCTGTCACTAGCAGCAGTCAATACTGTCAATCAAACTACTGTGGTACCACTTAGCTGAAAGTACCTTTACATGAATTCCATGCAAGAAAAGATAAAAGTGAGTAAATTGAATTTAGCCAGAGCTCATATTATCCAGCTCCTCCTCAGCATTGTCTCATGTCTTTTCAAGGATACGTGAGTGTGGAGTTGAGCCCGGTGGCGGCTGTCAGTGTGCAGCTTTTCTCAGGAGACTCAGAGTTACACGTGAGTGGGCCCATACAGATCAGCCTCAGCATCCCTGACAGCCGTGGACTCCAGATTTCAAACGTGGTTCCAGCGTGGTTCTTTAACCAGACCACTGGTGAGTAGAAATGGTGATGATACAAGCACAAAATCCTTCTGAATTCCTGAAGTATCTGGCGAACAAGTGATTTTATGGCTTCCACTAGTAGATTGATGAAGAAGGCTCTGTTAGCAATGTGGGAGTAAAGTGGTAGAAAAATTACTTTAATGTAGGAAATCATTAACAGAACAGCAGGAAGGGGGTAATGGAATTATAGTTTTATAATATTTATAAGCAGGACTCAGACCTTTAGTCTAATGGTTCATTTCTAATTCTTTCTGTACATCTGGCCATCAGCAGAGATTAATATTAGTATAACTAATGCTCGGATAAAATTAAAGGGAGGTGTGACTTGACATCAATCAGATGGGGGGGAGGGTTGTACTCAAAACGCACACCTTCGGAAGAATCACTCATCATATTGTTATTAGTGTCACAAACCTCTCTCCATTATTTTTTCTTTCTCAAACCAAGTTTTGGGTCATTTTGCATCCACAAAACAGTAAAATGAAACTTCAACATAAAACTCCAGTGTGGGAGATAGAAGAGGCTAAGTCCTTCTTAAAATCATGTTTTATTGATGGCAGAAAACTTTTTATTGTTTGTTCGACTTAGGTGGCTGGATGAGGAAAGGACTAGGGAAGGTGGTGTCAGTCGATGGAAAACTCATGTGGACATTCACAGCTCCTCATCTAGGCCACTGGATTGCAGCACCTCTGTCATCTAACAGAGGCAAGTGCTCATCATAATGATGTTAAAGTACTGTTTACAGAATACAGAGTTCTGTTTCTTTTTCTCTGTTTATTTGATAGTACCATCTGTGGCATATATAGCAGTAACATGGCAATGTAATCATTTAAATGTATGAAATGGAAATTAATGAATGATTAGCAAAATAAACACTTTTTTTTTTTGATGGTTGTAAATCTACTGGGTAAATAGATAGTTCTTGTTGTGGCAGTTGAATTTTTCTAACTTAAGAAGCCAAGAAACTGACCTGGAGCTGGCCTCGGTTAGTGAAAAGGAAGGAGGTTTATTAAATGTCAAACGCTTTTCGATTCAAAAAGCACATCGTTAATTTTCATCCACACTGATTTTCATTCCGTACGTGTTTCCTGTTCAAACTGACTATCTCACTTTTTCTTCAGGTTTCTTTGGACTTGACATTCCCATCGACTTCATCTTAAACCATTCATCTTCCCTGATGGTTCTGCTCGGAGGATTGCTTGTTGTGGTCATCTGTCTTCTGGTTGGATTATTGTGTTATCGCAGGTAACAGTCTGTCATCTCTTACTAGTCTATATAAGTGGTGATCATATTAAAAAAGATTGCTGAAAGAATGTAAATGAACAATGTAAAGACACACTTACTGATTTTGTTTCACCAGAAAATCTCTACATTTCTTCCCAGGTTTTTGGGCAAATCAAGTATTTTCTTCATATCTTCAATTTAGGGTTAAAATATGCTTCATCTGATGCAACTGGATTATGTAGTTCCTAGTTAGTGGTAATTATAAGTAAATAATATTTTACTGAAAATCTTTCAAGTATCAAATACTGATGTTGTGTAGGCTTGAAAAGGTAGCATCTTGCACCCACAGTGTGATCCCTCTCTGTTGTTGACATCTGGTCCAAACACCAACCCACAACATGGATAATTATACCACATCTGTGCTGCAGTATCACCTCCTCATAGCACTGAAGCTGAAGCAGAAGGCGTGTGTTCAGGGAATTATTTCCTGCAGGAGTGATTTGAGAATGTGGTGTGACACTTTTTTTTTTTTTTTGCCATGACTCTGGGGGGGATGTTATTATTTTATCACTATTTTTCACTTCAGTGTTCCTTTAAGAAATACTTCAATGCCAGTAAAATACCAAGCTGTTAAACATAACAAAGCATTAGTGATTTGCATAACTGAATGTGTATATAATATCCGTTTTCCCACTGAATAACCCGTGTTTGCAAGATGAGATTTTAGACAAATTGTTTCATTTTATTTGGCCTGACTCTGCTTATGCAAATGCTGTCTTGTCTGCAGACGTCCCCTCAGTGAAACTGAGGCAAAGACGATCCTACCAGTGATGAGAAAAGACCAAACCACCTCCACATGTGACGATGAACTCTTTGAAGTATATTCAAGGGACGTGTCTCCTCCACAGAATGGGCTTAACCACTCGTTCAGAGAAAAGGGGGACAATCGACGCAATTCCTCTGTTAATTCAACGCACAGCGTAATAGCCAACCCCAGCGCTGTGGCCATTGCGCTGGAGTGCGCCGAACTGGACCTGAACACTGAACCTAATGATGGGACTTGTGTGTTCAGAGAGCAGATGAGAGTTCCAGGATCTCTGACTGAGAATTTGTTTTTCTACAACCAGCCTGTTGCCATCCTTCACGCTCCAGCCTTCTTCCATTTGGAGGAGCAAGCGGAGCAGCAGCAGCGGAGCAAGTCGGCTACTCTGCCCCGTGCGGGGGCTTCAAACAGTGCTGCCACCGAGCCGCTGAGCAAAGACGGCTTCGCCCAGACACTGCCGAAAGGTCCGTCTGCGGCCCAGAACCAGGCGGGAGAAACCGAGGACCAGCTTGGAGTTCTAGAGGGTTCTCAGGCAGCAACCTCCACCAGCACACCCAGGGGTCCCTTCAGCCTCCCAGAGTCAGTGTCGGTCCCGGGAACATTAAATAAAATCAGGGACAGCAGGCACTCGGTACACGCCTTAGCGGAGTTTTCCAAAATGCCCTCACCCCAGCCTCCCCGGGCCTGGTTTGTGTCACTGGAGGGCAAACCCGCAGCCGAGATCCATTACAACGTGTCAGAGCAGCAGAGGAGACGGAGACCAGTGGAGAGTCGGGACACCAGTTTAGACTCGGGGGTGGACATGAGCGAACTGAACCAGCCGTCCGGACGGAGGGCTGTAACGCTGGAGCGCAACGCTACTTTTGTCAAAAGCACGTCCGGCGGTAAACACGCAGCTCCACAGTAGAAACTCTTAATACCTCCATGCCTACAGTTCATATCGCGTAAATATTTACATATTAATGTTTGTATGGCCCCGTTTCCGCCAACCATCAGATTCCACATACTTTACACACCAACTGCTGCACATGTAGAGAAGTGGAGCACGTTGCGCGGTAGTCGTGGATGTTAAACCTTAAATGCCAAAAATGTCTCACAACCCACCTGCTTTTTAACAACCTGTCTCATCTCTTATCTTCTGCCTCATATATGTCAAATTGTTTTCAAATTTTCAAATAACATTACATTACTGATGATTTACGGCCACCGCAGCTGCCCTGTTTGTCCTCCTCCAGCACGACGATGGATGGCTAACTTAAATGCCTGAATGCTAATGTTAGTTCAGTAATGTTATTGATTTTATACTTGTGCATGTTTTGCGCATGTTTTGGTGTATTTTGCCATGAAGTGAATCATTTAATTATATTTTAATACAAATAAATAAATGAATAAATAAAACTGACATTTCCTGTTTTAAACCCACATTTAGGTCTATTTATTTCTTCTATCTAGATACAGTAACATCACTGAACTAGAATTATAACCAGATTAGTTTAAGGTGTCGCATAAAATATGAACTAATGGTGTGAAATTTGGTCATAATTGCTGTGTGAAGTCTTGAGTAATGGCTAAAAAGTGTTTTCTGAGGTCACCGTGACCTTGACCTTTGACCACCAAAGTCTGATCAGTTCAGTGGACATTTGTACCAAATTTAAAAAAGATTTTTCCTATTGTGAGGTTTTGTGAGGTCACCACACTGCCAGATTTGAGGAAAGGTCCTTCAAGGCGTTACTGAGATATCGTGTCTGTGAGAATGGGACAGATGGACACACTGGAAAACAATATGGCTCTGGCTCTGACTGTCGCCGACATGGAGGAATAAAATGATATATATAAATGATCATTATCACCTGAAACAGCTGAGGAATACTTGCTCTCAGCATATTTATGTTTTCTCTGTGTATTTACTCTGGCTTGTGAAGCTGCAGAAAAAAGCCCTGTCTACTCATGGCTAATGAAGAGTGATGTTCACTATTCAGGTGGTTTACTTGATGCATGTGTCTTACACCACTGCAGTTATGTAACAACCTAACAACCTTTGTTAGCAGTTCCAGCATAGAGACACGCACCTGTCTAAACCTGTCAGGTGGGTTCATTTAAATAAATGCCCAAAAGCCCAAATAGATAAAATCATCCACAACTTAACACAAAGCCAAGACTAGAGAAAAGAAAAAATAGTGTAAGTGAAAAGAGATTTATTCACCAGACCATCTCACACTCACTCAAACTCCCTAAGAAGTAGTTTACTTCCTCCACCACTGAAGATTGAGATGGAGAAAAGTTTCTCACACACGAAAAAAGCCTATACCTCAATTGTTCAGCAGAGAAATTATGGTTTGTTATTATTATTATTATTATTATTACTATTATAAATAGATGACACATATTCTTTACGGGCCGTCGATGGCAGACCTGCTCTTAATTCTTCACAGACATGTAGACATAGACATATTTACAGTAGCCTGTAGTCTAATTGTCTGCAGCTGTGCCGAGGGTGTGGCCTATTTTCCTTGCGCTTGTACTGTGCCTGCCCACATGCAACACCAATACTGAAAGATAATACTAATAAGGAAGTAATTTGATTCTGTACCCTCCAACCTGGCAGAGTGACGAGGCAGGAAACAGTGATCTTTCAGGTTTCTGTCGATTAAAAGACACTTAATCTTTTTACCTGCTGTTTTGTCACACCAAGTGAAGGTAGGTCATGTGCACTGTTTACTCTGTCATAAAGAGACTCTAGTCTGTAGTCTGGCACATCTGTCATGTTGCTCAGTTTCCTTCTGATGAAACATTTGTAGGCCTATATGATATGTTGATCGTATTGCGTAATCAGTACCCTGTAAACGTTGCTGATGACTTGGAAGTGTTGATTACAGAATTTACTCATATGGCTAAAACCTATACACTACTGTATTAACTACTGTTTTTGTTACCTGTCGTGGTCTCACCAGGATTGTTCTCTTTTTTGAGCCACTGTTCTGGAAAATGAATGCTATTTTCTGGGACATGAATTGTCCCCTAATGTGTCTGTGTCCATAAACATATGAAAACAGGTAAAAACTTTGATCTTTTGATGGTGTGATGAAATGGGGGAAGAGATGAATGACTAACTAACTACTAGAGATAGTAATAACTATATGCAACAGCAAGGGTTATGGCTGCTGCCGCTGCTGGTCTGAGTATATCGGTTTTTTAACAACAAAGGTGGCAACCCATGGGTGAATGTTTTTCAGTTAATCATATTACAGGAGGGAACCAACAAATCCTCATTAGACATGTTCTGTCACACTGTCTTTCTGTTAACATGTCGAATATTGTCCCTCTGATTCCAGGCCATGGACATGCTGAAATCGAAGCAGAGCCAGCTGTGCATGTGGCTTTCAGCTGACCCTGACTACATACTTCAGCAGTGTGTGGATATGTTGTCTGTGAAAGAATTCCGAGACATACAAAAGCAAAGCAGTGATCTCGAGAAGATGAGACTGCTCTTGAAAATAACAATTGAAAAGGGAAGAAACGCCTGCCAGAGCTTCTCCGACATTCTGAGGCAGCATCAAGCACATTACCAGCAACTGCAACAGCTCTTCAGCCCTAACGCTCAAGGTAAAGACCAGTCTGTAAAAAGACTGAAGTCTGAAAGGCAGCGGTACACACGTTCTGATATATATATATATATTTTTTTTTTTTATCTTTCCAGGGCCACACGCTCCAACAGTAGAAGCTGATAGTAGCAGTGTTGTAAGCACCAGAGAAATAACAAATATGAGGGGAAAGTCCCTCTCATTGAAGATTGAAACAGTGAGTGGTGCAGGAAGTAGTCCGTCCGGTAAGCATGAATAGTTCTCAGGTTCCCTGAAGAATGAAATCATAAATGAAAGTTGTAAAATATATTGAACAAAAATATAAATGAAACACTTTTGTTTTTACTCTCATTTTTTTCATGAGTTGAAATAAAAATATGTTTTGAAGACTTTCTACACACACACACGCACACACACACGCACACACACATACACACACACACACACACACACACGCACACACACAAACACATACACACGCACACAAACACACACACAAACACACACAAACACACAGAGCCCATTGTCATGCCATTCATCTGCTGCCATCACCTTATGTTGCAGCATGACGTGCACAATTACTGGAAGCTTAAAACATCCCAGTACTTGCCTGTGTAGTCACCATGTCACCCATTGAGCATGTTGCCCCCCTAAAAAAAAAACAACAACTAACATCTGAAGCCTAAATCACACAGTTTAGCGCCTAATAAATGTCCTTTTTCAAAATAAAACTACACATTTTAAAGTGGCCTTTTATTGTGACCAGCCCGAGGCACACCTGAGCAATATGCCACACCTGTCAGCTGGACGGATGATCTTGGCAAACGAGAAATTCTCCCCGACACAGATTTAAACACGTTTGTAAAGATTTGAGAGAAAGAAGTTTTTTATGTAGTTAGAAAAATCTATCTATCTATCTATCTATCTATCTATCTATCTATCTATCTATCTATCTATCTATCGATGGAGAGAAATGGGAATAAAAACAAACAGTATTGTGTTTATTTGTTCAGTGTACTGTGAGCATTTTGAAGACATATTTTGATATATGTTCTGAACATGTTTTTTTTTTCTTCTTGTTCAGGGAATATTGTTGGACAGGGAACCCGAGCAGGTTACAGTGCACGTGGAGGCAGTGTAATATGTGCTGATAAAATATCCGGTGTCACTATTGACGGTGACATCGATTTGTCAGTGTCGGTGAAACCATCACAAGTGCGTGCAGGTAACATTTCGCCAACTTCTTACTCGTGATCTGTTAGATATTTGTGCAGTATAATAATGTGAGTGTCACTTTCTGTCAGTGTCTCATTCCTAAATCAAAGCATTTAACAATAAAAGACTGACTGACTCTGATTTCTTCTCAGATGCAGTAGAAAAGACACCGCCTTCCTCTCAGGTAAAGCACATACACACACATAGCCTCACACATTAGTGGTAGAAACCCTTCAACGGTAAGATCCACATTGAGAGATTAGTTTGGTTTAGTTTGATTTTTATAATTAACCAGGAGCTGTAGTTTAAAGTCAGGCTGAACACTGATATTAGCCCAGTGATGTAAAAGATCATTATTCTACTTTACACTTGTTAGTTTATCTTTTGAGGTATAGTTGCCAAGAGATCTACTGCTTACAGTATCTCACTGTGAAATCAATACATGTACTTTTTTAACAGATTTAAAAAAAACAAAAAAAGACTTAGAGGTTCTGGCAGGTGGATTTTTTTCATCTCTGGACAAAGCCAGGCTAGTTCTTTATCCCTGGTTCCAGTCTTTAAGCTAAGCTAAGCTAACTGTCGCCTGGTTCTACTGTTATATTTACTGGACAGAAATGGGAGTGGTATAATTCTTCTCACTTAACACAGGCATGAGGCGTGTGAGAAAAAGGAAGCACCAATCAACCACTGAGTGAACAGGGAAACTCCCCAACCAACCAACATACCTTTAAACTGCCTGTTGAAATAAAAACAATGTGAATTGGGAGGTTCAGAATGACAGGTTAACTGTCAGAATGCATGGGAAAGAAAGCCATGGAACTTCAGTCCTCTGACCAAAATTTTATTTTCACATTTCCCAAAAGAATTGTATTTGTAAACATGAAGGAGGAACACACATGAATCAGAACTTCTGCCGAATGCAAAGTTGAAAAAGAATGAATGAATGTCAGTAAACTCTTTAAACAACCTTGGAGTGACCAGGTGAACTCAATCAGGTAAATCAGGGGTAGTAAGGGTGAAAACAAGAGCCAATCAGTGAGAAGGAAAGGAAAGCGAGGTAAGGGAAGGTGAAGTGAGGTGGGTGAAGAAAGGAAGAGGGGAAAATAAAACAAGGACAAAAAAATTCATTCATTTAGGTTTAACATGTTTAACAAATCCCGTCATCTTTCACAGGCCCCTGCTGCGAAAATGATCAAGAAGCACAAGGTGGAACTCGTTTACTGCCTGAGTGCGGATCACTCCTTCATTCTGCAGCACGTTCAAGAAAGAGATATTGTCACGGACAGAGAGTATAATCGTCTGAAGCATATCCCTCAACCAGAAGAAGCTGTCATCAAACTGATCGATCTAGTTTTGGGCAAAGATCAAAAATCTATTGAAGATTTTATTGACGTTCTCAAAAAATCTGATATTCTTTGCACATATCCACAGCTCGAAGAAATTACAAGAAATTGGTGATGAGGAATGTTGAATTCAAGTTTTTCCAAATCAATGTGAAAAAGTGAAAGTGAAAGATGACATCTGATGGTGTATGTTTTATAAGTTATATTAGAACTTACAGATTGGTATTTGTAAATGTTGATAATGATTGAATGAT